CAATAGTTTTTTAAAGTTTAGAGAAAAGAAGTATAACTTAAATTAGTTTTAATAATAATAATCGTTTGTCGAACGCGATTACAGACTGCTGCATAATAATTATAGGTACATAAAAATATAAAAAATCAATTGCAATATAAATATCTGTATAATCCATATTCCAGTGTTCAATTTATAAAAAAAAAAAAAAAAACAGAATTTCATGATCTTTACTATCTCCAGAGATATTACAATGGGTATATCTTCGTATCTTGGTGGGACACCTATATATATTATATTATATATCTTTTTCCTGCTTTTTTAAAATACGAAGCCGCTTATTAGGAACACAGATAATTGATAAAATGGTGTTATTGAAACAAAATATACAGGAACAGTTCTGGCCGTGTATCAAAACCTTCATATATTAAAACCAATCGTTTATTGGAAACAATCGGTTAATTAACACGGTTCACCTCGGTCCCAAAGCATTCATATTAAGTGACTTCTACCGTATGTCTAAGGGATTTCTGTGGACCGAACGGGCTTAAACTAAGAAATGAAAGTTGTTTTGTAGGTGGATTTAATCGATTAAAGTTGGACTGAATTCCAATATGAATTTAACCGTGTTGTTACCGGCGAAGGGTGACTTTATAGCTTTGTACACCCCTGTAGACTCCTCAAGTGAAGCCAAGGGAATGACATCTGTATGCATGGCGTTATTATCAAACGCGTGCCTTTTGGGGATTTCAATTTTAAAACGCAACCATACCGATATGATCAAACGTGTACATTTATTTATTTTTTTTTTTTTTTTTGGGGGGGGGGAAGAAAGGAAATAGCATAGTATTATAATATTATAATACATAGTATTCGGTAATACATTATTTTTTTTAAAGAATATTTATTTCTACCATAGAAAAAAAAAAAAAAAAGGATGGGAAGAAATTCTCGAAATGTCGAAACCCACCCCCTATTCCCCGTAAAAAAAGCTTAAACAATCGCGCCTTCCGTAACGCACGGCATCGGATTTGTCACGCGCTAACAGATTCAATAGAACGATCGGGCCTCGAGGACGTCTGAAAACGATATTATTTTAACGTAAGTATTATGGTACCGGGTATACGTTCAACGCCCACGTCTCGAAGATACGCGACGCGCGTCTACTCGTTTACGGTTCGGCGAGCAGACGGCGCGAACTTCGGCGGGACGCTCTCTCGTCTTGACAATAATATCGTTATCGACGGGATCTCCAAAACTCATTAATTCCGTACCAATACTCTGCTATATAATACAAGCGTATAATAACCGCGCCGCCGTCGTAGACTATTATTGTATAATAGTAAAATACAATATATTAGTCGATATTCCTAAGTCGAATTTAACCCGCCACACGCACTGCGTATTATTATAATATAACCGCGGTCGTTTATGAACTACCTCATCCTCTTCTTCCTCCTTCTCCTCCACCGCCTACTCATCCCACTACTCCTACTCTTCCCCCTCATCTTCCTCTTCCTACTGATCCGTTTCAACGCGTATTATTATCGTTATCATCGTGGCTAAATGTATAGGTATGATCACAACTTTGTGATGCGCAGGTGCAATGGCCGCCACCGGCAACGATTCCCGCCTTATTTCAATCAATAAATCAATAAGTCAATAAATATTACTGTCAGCTGAGTTTTCTCTCCATGAAAAGCTATGGAATAAACTCAATAATATGATGTGAGAATTGTGATCGTACCTATATATTTAGCCACGGTTATTATTATCCAACGATCGTTTTATTCGCATTCCCCCTCCCCCTCCTGTCCAAGTTGTTTTAAAATCAATATCTCTGCGGATTTTTCATGGGTTTCTTTTTATTCTAGTCGTATAGATTAATAGATATGACAGAGTAGGTACGGGCGAAATTATTAAATATCACGGCAATATACGTACGAAACGCGCTCTGAACGAACGGCGATGATCCCACACGGCGAAAAAAACCGGGCCCGGGACGAGACGGGAAGATGCGTAATAAAAAAAAACAAAATAAAAATGGATGCGGATTTCCAAATCGGGATTTCCGAAAACGAAAATCAACAACGGCATGTCAGTAACGTATTTGAGGAGGTAGACATAATATATTCTCCTTTTAGTATCTCGTATGTATAGTTTGTGTCTATACCTATATTTGTTAAAGCCATATTTCTTCTTCAGTGTTTAGTCAGAAAAATCAAAAATTTGTTTGTACTCAATAGTTAAGAAAACAAAAATTAATAGAAACTTTATTTTAATAGAAATAACTGTTTCAATAGAATTTGATAGAATTGCTTATAAATACGTTTTAGAATACGTATAGAATAACAGTGTAACAGTAGAATAATAATATAACAGAAACGTAATTAACGAATTTACTACAAAAATCCTAGTTATTATAACTAGTTATTTTTATTTATTATATAAAAACTAATGATTGTTGCAGACAGATTATGTGTACGTAAATATTAAAAAAAAAAAAACAAATATGGGAGATGATTACGCACCTTAATATATAACATCTATATATAAATTGTCCCATAAGAAGTTACAAATACGAATTTGGTTGTTAAAAGTTATAGCCATTTATAGATCTGTGAATAATACAAAACATCAGAGAAACACCTTATATGGTATACAGATCTGAGCCCTAGCTGTTTGATTCAATGAAAGTTTCAAGGCAGATTGAATATTATAAATTACTTAAAAAATTGGTACTTTTTAACCTATAGGTAAACAATTAAAAAAGTACACACTACGCGTACAATATGATACAACTCAATATCCCCCCCCTCATTGGTGAAACCCTAAATACGTCACTGAATAATGGATATAAAGAAGGATAGAGATAAGGGCGGATTGGAGAGAGGTTTCGGCCCGGGCAAATGTAAAAGTACCAGTTTACTAATTAATTTACCAAATACTGAATTTTAGTTAACATGTATTATCATTATTTTACCATAACTATATTGTTTTTTTTACATATTTGGAAAGATATTATGCGCTGTTTTGTTATTTGAACATTTTTCACATATCTGTGTCTAATATTTTTTATTAATTAAATTAATTTCAAGACATTACATTTTTTCTTTAATAATATTAATTTAATATTGTACAAATTTACTCGGTTTTTCCATTTATTGGGAAAACTCATGGGAAAATCAAAAATGACCTCCTTAAAGTATCCACAGTCAGATTTCAGAAAAAGTGCTACACTTGTACACCAGAGCAATATTTCTGGTAGACGAGTTGTTCACAGTTAAATAAATAAATAATATATAAACATTATTGTAACTCCACTCAAAATCTCATACTGATTCGCTTCGTAATATTAAACAGTCTATTTCATCACAAGCTCAGACTTAAAAGAGTAAATATGTGTTTTATATTAAATATTTTATTACTTGTATATTTTAAACACAATTTAATTTTAAAAAAAAGTTAAAATCAAAACGTTATTAGTATATTTCAAAATTTCAGCATAATATTTTCAAAAAAAAATACTTTTTAAAATAGTTATTTGAAGAAGTGGCCCATCGGGAAATTTCCCCGAATTCCCGCTGGTCCCATCCGCCCCTGGATAAAAAGGATTGCGTGTATGATAGGACGGTCTTTAGAGGATTAGAAACCAGAAAAGCAAACTTTTTATATAATAATAAAAAAAAAAAACATCGGAAATTAAATTTAGTCCTCCGGTTTATTTATTGATTTTAGTAAGTAATTAGTGTAAGCACTAATAATTGAAATACGAGGCAGTTACGTGCTTTCGAAGAAATATGGAGCAAATTATGAATAATAAGACTACCTTTGGTGTATAGTCTTCACATCATAATAGTAAAAAGAAAACCTGATGAAGGTGAATACCTGAAAATGTCAAATGAAAAAACAGACGGAAATAATTCGCACCAAATTCGTCAATCACTGTTGTAGCTGAGAATCAGGGAAGGAAGTATAATAGAGGACAATTTTATAATTTAAAACGATTCTAAGTGGAGCTCGGTAAATAGGTAGTACATATTTCGTTTTTAACAATGTGCGTTTTCACGACGAAAACGATTGTTTAAAAAAATATTAAGATTAAAATAATAAAAACTTAATAATAATAAAAAATAGATAAAAACATTTGCCAATGACAATAATCTTATTTTTAATTTTTTTCAATCTACAGAACCAGCTTTTCTTCATCATCTCGAATATTAACAGCAATTTCAAAAACTACACAGAAAAAAAAGTAATTTCTAATGTACCAATTAACAAAACTATTCTTTCAAAACAGATGCTATTCTTGAAATTCTGAGGAATGTTTCAGGTAGAAAAATAAAATCGAAAATATTGAAACTTTTACTGGTGTACATTTGTTCGTTTTTTTCTATACGTGTATTCCAGTTGTACTCAATTATTATGAATACTATTTAGAAAATCAAAAATGACCTCTTCGAACCGCAAACTAGATACGAAATGATAAGCTCTCTTGGCGTTTTCGATTGGAGAATGATTCCTAAAAGAAAAGTTGTACATAAAAAAATAAGCCCACTTCGTAGTGAAACCGATAAGTTCCTCGCTGTGCTCAGAATCAAAAAAAAAAAAATGTATGTTTATGATTCCTAAAAAAATAAAAACCCGAGCACAAACTCGATAATATACGATGTTTAAAAACCTCAACTACAAAAAATATTATATCTGTATGTCATTATATTGGCATTGCGTTTACAGGAAACGACTTTTCCGGTTCAATAACAAATTATTGGAAATCAAATGACGTCTATATAATATAACTATAAAATATTACTCGAGATCAATAATTTACGCGGTGAAACGGACGAAATTGAGTAATTCTCAACGATTATTATATTATTTTATAAATATTTGTACGCGTTGTTAATTATAATTATAAGCTGTGTATACTTGTAAAATGCAATACAGTTATACTGTTTGTGGTTTTTATTTTTTAATTTGTTATTAATCTCGAGTATCTGTTTATTCAAATAACAAATAAAACAGATACGGACACACTTCGCACAATGGGTGGACCACTGTTATCCACGACGATTAAGCATTGCTAACGAAGAGCGATTCTGAACGGATTTCGGTTATACGTGTTTTGAAAGGCCGTAATACTTACGATTTGAAAATAATACGTTTCCCACGTTTTTTCTCGGGTTTTTTCGTTCATTATGAAAACCTCTGGGAAAATCAAAAAATGACCTCCATTAAGTACCACCCCCCCCAGAAAAATTTCCTTTCAGAAAATGTGCTACGCTTGATACTTCGGAGCGAGATTTCTGGTAGAATGTTTGTACACGATAAAAAAAAATGAAAAAAAAAAAACAAATAAATATTATTGTAAAATCAACAAAGTAATTCCTCGTTTCCCTCAGAACCTAAAAATCTAAAACGTCACAATATACATAGTAGGCTTTAATATATACATTATTTCAAGGGCCGGTTAGCTACACCGGGTAATAACAATAATAATAATAATTGCACAGGCTAATTCGGAGTTTAAATCGCCTGAACGTTATCGAAAAAAATGACAAAATAAACCGTAGGAATAGTGTAGAAATAATAACAATAATAATAACAATAATGATAACGACCGCGATCCCATCGCGGTATACTAAATTATAAATGTTAACCGCGGGCCCGTGCACCAGTGACCCCGTGGAATTTATAACGATAGTGTTATCGTTAGGTCATTGATAATATTATTATAGTGTTCAAATAACAATTCGACGGTGAGCGAAACGAGAGAACGGAGCGGAAGGCGGGGAATGCGCGGAGACACGATGATTAATATATTTGATCCGTGAAATCGCTGAGTATATTCTATTATAATAACGGTGCGGATTTCTAAATTAATTTCGTATCCATAGCGTTATTAAATGCGCATTATTGTCATAAGCGTCCTGTTGACATACGAATCCGGACAGTCCGGTGTTTTCCTCTCCGATACGGTATCAACGGACCAAGCACGGTCGTTCAAATTAATCGCTGCATGAAACGAAAATGATTCGAACGGTTCGAGAAGACAAAAGGACTCTTAAGGACTCTCGATTGTACATCTTGAAATGTATTTGCTCTCGGTGTATTTTTGATACGTTTTTTTATTTGCAAAACTTTTATAATTACAGTACACAATTTGAACTCGCATTAATTTATAAATGTTAACAACGGTCAAAGTCTCTATTATGCGAAATAGTGCCGCTACTAAACTCCGATACAAAACGTCTTCAGTGCCGTCGAGTTTGACAGAGTAAAACGAAAACGCCGCGTTACGTTACGATGCCGGCAGGCTTTTAATAAAATACCATTGCTCAGTTTTTAGAAATACGCAGTTGAGGATGAAACAACGAGAATCGATACGAAAACAAATTTCCGTTGTCATTTAAAACAAAAATTGAATAAATGTTTTGACAAAAGATCTTAACGGGGAGATAAAGAAAATCGCAGAGACCGTGGCATGCACCTATAAGTTTATCGGTTCGTTTTGTTTTTTTTTTTTTTTATTTTTTTTACAATTTTATTGGTTGAAAATAATATTGTCTGCATTTGTAAAACACATAGGTAACCTATAGTGAATTTATAATATAAAAATCGCGTGAAAGAAAAAAAAAATCTCCAATAAAATGAACGAAACAATTATTACGATATATTTTTTTAGAATAAATAAGGTTAGGCAATTTTATGAACGTCGGGGCACGTAAATTTGAATAATCCAAACGACCGATTAACAAATTAATACATTAAAATATATTCGCGTTTTGTCGTTTAAAACCCCACAAAAGCAAATACCCAATTCAAAAAAAAAAAAAACAATTATTAAACATATTTTATAGACATTTTATAATATAATACGGATTTTATCCTACCAGTGTTTTTTTTTTCAAATGAATAATGTTTATGAAATATTGTTATTAACAATCAATAACATGTACAATTGAAATGTGTTAATAATTATTAACGAAAAATTCAATTAGTTTTAATTTTTGTATTATGGAGTCTGCGACCATTTATTTATTGTTGTTCATAATATGGTTTACAGGATTAACTTTCCTGCCCCGAAGGACGTCCTGATTATGAAATTAAAAACTCGAGCTCATTTTAAATTGCCAGGCATTTCTGCTCGTTCGAAATATAATAGCATTAAACCAAATCAATATCAAAACATGACCGTTTCAAGTACACAAACTGCAGATAAAATGCTATTTTGGAAAAGAGGATAGGTAGGTACGTACTTGACGATAGTAGCCAGGTCACACTTATCATAGTAAAAACATACGATTTTTCTTTTCGTGTTCTATTGAAAAATATATTATAAGTATAATATTGTGCATATGTCCATAAATTAACTATAATTACTTGTTTTAGAAAAACATAAAATAAATAGAATTCGTTTTTTTATAAACTAAATGTTTTTAAGTTTGCGCGTACAATGCGTAACCGCCAGTTTACATAATTAATATATACGATGGTAATTGGAATAATCGTAAATTTAAAAATATCATGGGGTACATAAATCAACGTTTGATTTACATTTTGATATTATATTATATAATTTATGTAAAAAAAAAAATGATTTATTTCTGAATGGTCGTAATACTTATTAAAAATCGACGGACGATGTCTATATTCAATCAAAAAGTGCAATAATCAATGAGATTATTAACAAAAACGAAATAAAAAAGTTGCTGATACGGTCACGGGTAGACCACTGTCACGGGTAGGTATATTTTCGGTGAGACGCGCAACGATAAATCATTGGAAACGAAAAATGATTTTGAGTGAAGTAATAGTCATTATTTTTTCGCCTTTGTTACCAAGATAACTAGGAAGTCAATCCCATTTTCCTATGTCTTCGCTGATTATAGAGAATTATAGGGGATTCAAATCTTATCGTAGCACAAGCTAGATAAAATTTGTTTTTAAAAAAGATTATATACTAAACGATCGGATCAAAATATCTGGCAGATATGGAAGCCGTTTACAGATAGTAAAAAAAAAAAAAATACAAACATGATAGTGAAACCAATATATTTCTCGCTACTACATTTAGAATTTGAAAATAATAAAAACCGTTTCTTGAATATTAGAGATGTTATTTTTTAGTAAAAAAAAAAAAAAAAAAAAAAAAAAAAAAATTGACATTTCAAATTACGGACAACGATTCGCTATACCCGG